CTGCATGCAAATATATTCTCGAATTGCCTGAAAAAAATGAAATGTAAAAAGAAATAAGGAATTGAGATGGTAATATTTCCACTTTCAGAGCGACTGGTTGTCACAGAAGGAAATTCTGATTTAAAAATGTCAAATTCGAATATCATCCTTTTCCAGCTATCGAAAGCCGTTTTGAAGTTGACGAGGCTGTACTCGTACCGTTTCACGTGAGTCTCTCCTATGATGCACCTGGTGAATACCGGGTCTATGGTATTTCTGCAAATCCACAGTAATACAATCTGAACAGAGATCTTTAATCTTTCAAATAATGACCTTAATAAGAACTAATAAGCAATATTGAGGAGGCCACGTTTATTGATGCAGATTTTTTTATATTAAATTTTTATATTATTTGTATTGATCAGCTAGCACTGCTTTGTAGTATTTCTAGTCAAGGCAATTGCTATTCAAGCTTTAACGTAGTCGGGAAATGGAACGCTCATTCAGACGTCTTCGATTTAGAGTTTCGAGTTCCCGATACCCAGGTGTTCAGTCATAGACTTTATATATCATGGCCAACGATCAACAGATTACTAATTTGGTTCCCATGTGAGTATACTCCGCTCCTTAAACCTTTTAAAAGTCGAATTGTCGAGCATTACCCAGGCTTCAATACATGCGTTCTTCCTACCTTACCGAGAATCAATAGTTTAATTGACGCAATGAGAGTGAAAAGTTGTCTTACACTTCACTTATACCGAGTTGTTGAGTAATCCTTTCAGCGAGCAAGAGGCAAGTGGAAAGTCGTCTGGTTACTGTTGTGATTTAAACTTTTTGGAGTTGAGCTTTGCTTGTGTGATTTTACTGCTAAGAAGTTGATGCTTATTTTGACGGTGATGGGCTGTTTTGTCGTTATGGTTGAACTTTCCGACTTATTTAGAAAGAGATGAAGCTTGAAAATACTCGTAGTCCTCTTTACAGAACAGCAAAAATCGTATTGAAATAAATTACGTTATGTCCCATCGCACTCACCGAAGCCACATAAACTCAACCCTTAAGTAATTAAATCCATAATGAATCACCTACATCGCATTAGACACACTCTTGTCGCAGTCACAATCCATCATTGACTCTTTGAGTTAGAAGACAATCAAATTAAGTGATAACCTACATACATACATTACTTCCTATATCAACTTCAATATCAACACAAGCAAATCTCGCCCGTGCAGAGGCAGCAATAAGTGACCACAAACCCGCATCATTGTCATCAATTCAAAATCATCCACAAATGAGATTAAACTTAGACATGCTCCGTAGACTTCCGTTTTGGTAGACAGCAGGGAAGCTTTGCTCAAACGCTTTAAGTTCACGCTCAATTAACCTCTGCTTGACATGATGGCGCCTCTTACAAATTAGTACAAAAGTTCTTTGTCTTCGGAGGCTGACAGTCAACTTGCCAAATCGTCATTCCCCAATGCTAGTTTATTCCGTTCATTCTTTACAGGGTCACACTTTAATGTACCAGACAATAAATAAATATGTGTGCAAATTGTATGTACGAATGTGCATATGTGTGAGCGATCCTTTGAAATGGTGTGACAAAGAATTATGTGGGTAAACAGAGTGTCACCAAACGCTTTACAAACAAACTTTACACAAAATCACTTTCTGTCTCTTTTCGACAGTGCCTACACACATGCATACAGTTACATCAGTACATAAATATCTATGTGTATATTATATACATTATAGTTGACCTAAATTCTTAAGCAAAGAAGTATACGCCACTGAAAGCATGACAAACAGCAACAATGTTCAAAGATAGGCGACTAACCTAAAAACTACACACATACATGTATACACCAGGGAGCAAGCAATCAGATAAATATACTTATTTATATATTTCTTTACTTTTTTATTTTTATTTTTATTTTTATTTCATACGAGCACTTTGCACTCACACACACCCATACTAAGCCGTCTGCTCGTCGATGAGACACACGAAAGCGCACTTGTGCCATAATGAGGTCTTATGAAAACTTTAGTGACCGATAACAATGGCACCAACAATGTTCATAACAATAAATAAATTAAGAATAGCAACAAAAAATACCAAGTACTGCAAGTGGGGAAGCACTTACATCTATATAATATATACATATTTATGGTGAGAGCAAAACAAAAATGTATTCAGGCAACGTCTCGGCTCTGTTCATTGCTGGATATTTATAAGTACGTGTACGTGGCCCCTAAGGTATGAGCGGTCGCTCTAAATTGCTTATTGTTTTCATACAGACACTCACTTAAAAATTGTGTGCTCATTTTTGTTTGTTTTTTGTTGTTTGGTAGCGCCAGCGTTTTAAGCAAAGAAAAAAAGAAAAATCGCTCTTTTGGTAATAATTTTAAGATGTTTAGAAAAAATCTTGACTTTCGCAAGGAACACAAAGGCGAATGGAATTACGCGATCAACAACTTAAATACCAATTTCACGAACCCAGAAGCAACATTTAAGAGCAATTAATTTTAACATTTATTTCTCTAAGAAGTATTTTGATAAACATTTTGGGCATTTATTTTCAGTTATGTTTAATCGCCGATGCTAGTTTATATTGCCCGAAATATTTTTTTCCATTATGGCGCTTATAGTCACAAATCTTCTAGAAAATAAATGCCCAAAATAAATTTTTGCTATTTGAAAAGATGCATCAAAAACAGTTTCCGTATTAATTTTATATTACTACTCGATGGGAAAAAATGTTGTTCAAGCGGCGGACTGACAATCGACCCCGTATAAGACAACGAGGACCTAAAACACAAAAATCATTTTAAACGACCGAGGATTGAAGCTGCATTAGTCAGCTGACATCATCAAGATATAAAAAACGTGCCTACTTTATTCTGTCAGAGCATTTCACGCTGGGTGAAACATAGATCCAGTACTTCGGAATAACAGCGTGCAACATCTGAGGGAAAGTAATCTGTGCTTCGACTGTCCTGAGTAGGGGCATAGCCTGTAGCGGTCACACAGTCGGGAAACAAGTTCACCGCTGTAGCTGGGACGATGTCAATTACCATACGGTTGGGACCTATAAATATTGGTTTCTCCCTGCTTATGGAAAAATTCATTTAAAAATTGCCAAAAATTCGTTAAGAGTTAGGAAAAATATTTTTAAAAGCAATAGTCAATAGACATTATCATTCTTCTGAGAAAAATATATGCTAGGTTTGTAAAGAAAGTTTACATCTGGAAAAAAATTAATAACAGGACAGGAGCAAACTCTTGTGGAGCCTAGAGAGGTAATCTTAAGTCCGCCACCAAAAAACTCGTTGGACTTTATAAGTGTTCCAATGGCGGTCTAGCCAGATATGCGGAACTATAACGGCAACCCAAAAAGTCCGCCAGGGAAACAAGCCAAACGAGATTTTGGTCAAGGTGATTCCTTACCGTTTGATTTCTTCAATTCATTGCTGAAGAAAATAATGCGAGAATCGGTTGCGACGTCACATTTAATATCATAACTGTCATCACTTGTTTCGACAGGTGCTATTTGGTACTGAGTAGGCTATTGAAGAGTAAAGTTCCGTCTCCATGAACAAAGACCAAGACCTCTACAAATTGTTAATCATACCCTTCCATGCTATATGGTACAGAGACCTGGACAATGACAACATCTGATGAGTCGGCATCGAGAGTTTATGAAACAAAGTTTTGCGTAAGATTTATGATATTCTGCCACGGCCACGGCGAATGTTGAAATGCAACCAAAAGACAGCTACTCTGGCTAGATGTTCGATCTTACTAAATCAGAACTAATCCCTGTATTAAATGTATAAGAGTTTTATTAAGGCATTGTAATGCAGAGTCCACTATTATTAAGTTAACAATCATGTATTGCAAAGCTAAGCCCATATTCTATATATTTACATACAGTTGGTTTACATAATAGTTGGTCACCATTTGCTTTATTCCTTAATCCACTTATCCCAACTGATCTGATTTCATTGCGCTTCAATGGTGCTTTGGTTTTATTTAATTAATTGACTTTTACAACAGTGAAATAAACACCTGCCAGCAGCAACCACCTCAGTGTTAACATCTACAACTACAACGGCAAAAACAGAGCTGTGGTAAACAAACACCACCGGGCGTATACGCAATGTCAGTTCGTGTTTACTATGAAATTTCTGTTTTTTTGTTGATACAGCATTTTCTCTACGAAATTTTATAAAATGTATTGTTTTCCCCTTTCTTTGTTTATTCCTTCAATTGTTGACCAAATACTACCTGGCCTTGACTGCTCACCTGCTCAGTCTATCTCTTTCACTTAACCATTATTTAACCATTTAACTTGAGTCGTTGACTTTTATTCAACCACAAAACCCACCAGCTTTGGTCATAGTTCATTTCGTAGACAAAATAAAAAGAGAATCGCCCTAACGGAGTTCATGCATCGATGCACGCACCGAAGAAACTGTCGAGTAAGCAGCAATTGTGGTGAATGTCATCCGCAGCTGTGACTAACAGACTCAGTCAGTGCCTACCGTCTGATTGCGAGTATTCGAGTATTTATCAAATGCATTGTCAGTGGACGTTTTGCTAAGTCTATTTAATTAATTGTTGGTTTTTAGCGATTAGTATATACCGTTGCAAGGTTTATTCTATTTATTGTTTTTGCTGACGTTTACGTTTAGAAGACTTCATTGTAAATACTCAAATGCGGCGAAGGTTTTGTATACAATTTCATAGAATTAAATACGTACATACACGTATGTATAGGTTTGTGCATATGTTGGAAGTTTATATAGCTGTAAATTATTTATTGATTTCTTAAATGGCTTTTACGGTTTGAGTTCAATTCCGTTCGAACAAATTTTATGTTTAATTCATAAGGTCAATTCATAATGTCCATGCTGTATTGATACATAAATATATATATATGAGCATATACAATTTTCTCTATTTGTATCAATTATTGTAAAATATGTTCTAAATATTATTCGAAATGATTTTTTTCTAGAAAATATGAAGATCAATGCGAAAATGGCCACTCCGATCGAGGAAAAGGTTGATCAAAATCTAAAGGTAAATATAAAGATAAACGAAAATAAAATTGAATAAAAATAAATAAATTTAAACAAAAAAATTTAATTAAATAAAACGAAGTAAAATAAAATATAATAAATAGGAGCAAAAATACAAGTAAAATAAAATTAGTAAAATCAAATATGCAAATGAAGGTGAAATAAAATAAAATATAAAATGCAATAAAATAAAGTGCGAAAAAAGTGAAGTAAAATGAATATAACAATATAAATTTGGACAGATTAATAAAGTAATCTAAAATAAATAAATTAAATTAAATTATTTAAATGAAGTATTGTAGGATAAGCAATACAAAATAAAAGAAAACAAAACCAATAAAATAAATAAATATAAAGTAAACGAAAATAAAACTAACATTTAATTAGTTCAAAATACTATAAACAAAAATTTATTTATTTTAAATAAAACAAGATAAAATTAAATAAAATAACTTTAAGTAGAACTAAGCTCCACCAAATAGAAATAAAAATTAATGATTTAAATTTATATATTCAAAAAAGAATGATAAAAATAATTTAAAAATATTATTAAATTCAATAAAAAATAACGAAAGAAATCCACGTAGATTTTCTATAGTTGCTTGAAATTTCATATATCTAATTGAAAATTAATATTTTTTGTAGATCCGCACTGGCATGGTTAATGTCAGTGATGGCAAAAGTAAACCAGAACCACTTAGACTGAATTTAACTATGGAACTAGTAACCTTACAGAGATTAGAAGTTGTTACGCCAACAAATCCTCAACACAATGGACCACCAATGGAGTCAAAAGTAAGTCTTTCTTTCAAAAATAATTATTTAAATGTAAGACAAATAAAGTTTAAAATATAAGCAAAAGAATTACAACTCACAAAATCATCAACGTTTCACTGAACGCCTAAATGTATGCCACAAATGGTGCTCACAATCGCTCCCCAAATAAGAGGCGAGGGAAGTTCTGTTATTTTGAGGAACTTTATTATGGACTACTTTAGTAAAATAAATATTTTTCAAAATAATATTTCTTTTTTATGCAATTAAAATGGAATTCTAAATATTACTTCTATGCTTAAAGCAATTTGCGTAACACTTTAATGGCCATAAATATACGTATGTATTTTACTCTCGCTTTATTTAAAACCGTTCATGATTCATATGCTTATATATAATAAATGGAACTTTATATGAGTTTCAATTTTATTTCTGTGCAAATACTGTGAGAACGCCCTCAGGGACATTGCATGCAACTGTGCGCAATGCGATATTTATCTGGGGAATATGTGCACAGACACATACATTTCGCATACTTTTATATGCATATAAATATAGACACGGTATATATCCAAAGTAGTTCATAGAAATATCAACAAAAATGTCTGTCCCAAAAGTAAAGCAGAAATAACATAAAAGATAAAACTCATATTAAATATAATTAAATATTCGATTGCATGTAGAACATGACAATGTCCTTGAGGGAAAATGAAAACGAGTTTGACAAACACACATGTTCATACGTATGTACGTCAGTTAGTGTGACAATATTGTTGATAAGCGTTTGAGCCAATGGTAATTGAGTAGAGTTGGAAATTTTCAAAAAAAATATGCGCTCTAAGCAGCGATATTTGAGGTGGATCGAGAAAAACAGTATCTGCAGCCGCAATCTGCAATTTCAATAATTACTTGAATATTTGGACGATGATATGCACCTCTTAAAACATGAATTCTGGCCACATTTAAATCACTACTTTTATAGTAGGTATTAACAATTCTTTGTGCTGTTATTAAGCGTTCCATTCCTATAAATTCCTGACTTTTAACCAGCTGATAATGCTATATATGTATATACTTTAGCTTCCAAAAGCTCTCTCAGTTAATCATTACTGCATAAATTAAATTTCTTTCAATATTTTTAACTCCATAATGTGAACCTTTGCCATTTTTACTTGTATAAACCAAAATTAATCCTTCTTACTTACACAAGTTACAATTTTTTTGTTGTATTTCCTACATTCATCTCAATATTTTTCTCATACTTTTCACATTCCCCTCTCTCTCTTTCTCCCTTCTTGCGGTTTTTAGGAACGCATGGTGCAAATAACCCGTCAAAAGCAAGGTGGCCTTGGTTTGAGCATAAAAGGTGGTGCCGAGCACAAATTGCCCATTTTAATATCGCGCATTTACAAGGATCAAGCGGCGGACATTACAGGTCAGCTATTCGTGGGCGATGCAATAATTAAGGTGAACGGCGAATATATCACAGCTTGTCCGCACGATGATGCGGTAAATATATTACGTAACGCAGGTGATATTGTTGTGCTAACGGTTAAGCATTATCGCGCGGCGACGCCTTTCCTGCAGAAGCAACGTGAGTAAGAGCAGATGATGGTGTTTGCTTTAAAGCAAATTTATTCATTATTGCCACATTTATAGTTCGTAGATAATAAGCAGTAATAATTTCTGGCGCACGTTTACTTTTGGCTTAGTTGCGCATGATTATACTGTGAGGAAAAATATGTTATTATTATTATTATTTTATTTTTTTTAACTAAATATTATATAAAATCTGCTCTACAGCATATTGCTACAGGCAAGTAAAAATATTTAATCTCTTTAAACCATGCCCTAAAGTATAAATCACATTAAATAAGTCGTAGTGTAAGCTTTAAAGTTCTAAATATTTACTCAAACTTAACTTTCTTTTTAGTTTTTAAAATTAACTTACACTTGGCTTGCTTCAAAGACAGTTCATTATTTTGTAATTTATATTTTATTTTATTTTATTTTTATTTTTTTTTTGCAGTAAAACCTGCACTCATTAAGTTGGAAACTTCTATCCATAGCAAAGTTGAAAATAACAAACAACAATTGGCAGTGCGTCTGCCAGTGGCCTTTGAAATGTGCACACACACTCGTACAATTGTGTGTTTGTGGTACTTATAAGTGTGTGTATAGCACTTCTGAGTGTATATGTAAATTTTTATAGTGCCATAAGGCTTCATAATGTTGTTGGAGCGAGTCTCGACGCCTCATTTTAATATTCACGTCTTAATTAATATAATTTAACGCGGCATTTCGCATTAAAAATATATGCATTAAGAATTCTGAAATTAAATGGAAACCATTTAAAAGTTAAAACATGGAACATCTTAAATATATCTAGGGACGGCAAAGAATGTCCCAATAAATATTTAAAAATTTAATATTTTTTTTATCGTACAATATAATATTTTGTTTCAAAAGTTTTTTGGTTGGTTGGGAATTTGGATTTTGAGGATCTGATCAATATTATTACTAAAACGTTGGCCTTTTTCAAAATAGTTTCAACTGTAAGCTTATATAAAACTGAAACTTTAATGATTTTTTTTTTTATTTTTTTATTTTTTTTTTTTTTTTTCTCAATTTGTTTTACTTAGTTAATTTCATTGCCTCTTTCTTGCAGTTTGATATTTTTTGAATGTCTCTCCTCTTCTCAGCAATAAAAACCTGAACAGCAAATACAAAATTTTAACAGTATAAAATTCAAACATGAATTAATGCGCAAAGAAACGAATATTTACTGCCTTCATTTTATATGTATATGCATATTCGCGTATGTATATGCGTATGAACTCAACTTAATTGACTAGGGTTCAGTAGCATGTGCTCGTGTATGTATGTATGTACAACTAACACACACATGCAAGTGCCTAAAAGCAGTGAGTATTTTAAAAATTCTACAACCGTAAGCCTCCGAGCAAAGGCCATACAACAACAACAGCACTAATAAACAAGTTGGTGGCCTCACACACTTCACCTTTTGGCCCACTTTACTTACATAAATACAAATACTTATGTGTATATGCCTGTATATACTTATATCTTAAGCTTTGTACGGCTTTTACAGAGAATATAAACAGTAAAGAAATGTTTGTTTGTTTCTTATATATTATATATATGCACCTACACATGTATTCTCTGTATGGACTTAAAGTGTTTGAGCCTTTACATAATGAGAGAGTGAGTGTGTATGTGTGTGTGTGTGGTACGAGCCCCTTCTCCACCTGAAGCTGTTGATAACCCTGCTTTTAGATGCCTTTAATTTTACTAACTCCTTTCTGCTGTCATTTTTGAACTTTGAAGAAATTTTTTCATAAATTCTTCCATCTGATATCACCCATCAAAATGAGCATTTTTTTCTTTTTGTGTCTCAAAAGTCGAGCAAGCAAATTTAAGGTATTACGCACATATTCAAACAAACGTATGTATGTGTCGATGTGTATGCTTAGAAACTCAAACATTATAAGAGTTTTGTATATATATATATATATCTATATATATATATATATATATATGCATATCTATACATATCGACTTACATGAACTTTTTCTGGTCACGCTGTAGTGTCGGAAATTTGAGAAATTCATTTTTACAAGTAGAAAAGCTTTCTTACTTTCTATCCGTTGCCTTTGGTTGTTTTGAAAATTGTTGACACTAGCAAACAATATTTCTTTTTTCGCATACAAATAAACTTTAATTTTCCAGTTTAATGCTCGCACACTTTTACATTAATGCCCACTTGCGCCAAATTCACATATTTGAGCAGAAATCCATATGAGTACACTGCATGGAGAAGATAAACTAGTATGAAAAAAATCTAGGTAAATACCAGTAATTTGAAGATGAAATCTGGACAGTGGATTATTCTTCTAGCAGTAAAGCTGAAAAGGGAGTAGTAAAAATGTGTTACACGGATAAGGATTATCGATCTCACTATTATAAATCTCATTATTATTATTATGTTTTTTGTGAAATAGAAATTCAACACGCCTAAATTAACTAGTCAATAACTAGTATAAAGCTGATGCATTGTCCGCCAATTAACAGTTCGTATTGGCAACACCAGTTGCTTACGTGGAAAATAGATGGAAAATGAACTGGTTACAACGAAAATACTAACCAGTAGGGTTCTGGTTAACAACTAGCATTTTCCCAGCAGGGTTGTGCGTAACTAAATATAAATAAAGGGCGATGTTTTAAGAGCTATAGAAAAGTTTTTCAAGAAAAAAACACAAAAAATTTAGAAAAAATTTCTTTGCATCGATGGTACGGTCCATATAATTTAAGGCTTGATAATTATTTCGGGGAAATGTTGACCCTGACTGCGCCTTAAACGGTCCATCCGCTTAGTCCAATTTCGCCACACTCTTTCCAACATTTCGGTCGGTATTTCACGAATGAATGCTTCAATGTTGCCCCCCAAGGAGTCAATTGAAGCGGGCTTGTCTGTAAAGACATTACATTTAACATAGCCCCACAAAAATAATCTTAAGACTTTAAATCGCATGATCTAGGCGGCCAAATGACCGATCCCGAAAGTGAAATAAAATTTTCACCGAACCCATCTCTCAATAAGTCCATTACTACGCGTGCTGGGTGGCATGTGGCAACGTCTTGTTGAAACCACATGTCATGCAAGTCAAGTTCTTGAATTTTGGGCAAAAAACAGTTTGATATCGTCTCACGGTAGCGCTCACCTTTCACAGTTACTTTACGATTCGCATCATCTTTAAAGAAGTACTGTCCAATGATGCCACCAGCCCATAAACCCCACTTTTTCTGGATCTATTGGTAGCTCTTCTAATGGCTCTGGCTGTTCTTTACTCCAAAATCCATTAAGCTGAAAGTGAGCTTTGAGCTGTAATTTGTAAGCTTTTTTAGTGTGTAAGACGATTGATGGTTAAAATATAGACCAAACTGAAGATGTTTGACAGTGATACAAAACACGAAACGTGCATCAGCTGTTTAAACCAGTGTTGCCAAAAAGATAATACCAAAAAAAATCACCCTTTATATATTTGTTCTTAATAGCGTCTGTGTAAATTCAATATGTACATTTACTCACTTACAGTTTGTTTGGCTATTGAAAATGTGCAGTGAAACTAGAAGTTTGTAAATTTGCTTATATTCTTTTAGATCAATTTTAGATAAGTTTTCAATGAAATGGTTCCTCTTAGTAACGTGGCAGCACCTTACTTTAGTTATCAGTATATATTTAGCAATAGCTTGGAGTCTACATCTGTATGTTGGAAACAGATGAAGTTCATTATTATCAGAGAACATTGAAAGCGCTTAAATAGCGTTGCCACTTTTCTACTTTTTCATTTAGTTAACGGAACATTACAGTTTCTTAATTATAAAGAACTGTTGCAACTTTTTTTAATTACTCAATAAATAACAATATACTTTACTATACATAATGACTTATTTTACAACTTCCACACTCTACTACTTTCACTGTTCAGTAGTATCGTCTTCAACGAGTTTACTTTGTAACTGACTTGCCGCTGTGTTGGCCGCCTTCTTAGTAATCCCACCAATTGCTCTTACTCAGCTCTGGTAATTTCTTACATATTCCTGCGATATTCAGAACAATCTGTGCTAGCGCTTTAGAACAACCTCTAATTATCGGTATAAAAGGAATTAGCTTGCATAAAAACTGAGTCTTCCCTATCCTCGATCCATTCTTTGATTTCTTCAAAAGACACGCGCTCGGACCAGCAAATTTTTTTACATCCGGAGAATACGGCGGGTGGGATGAGAATTCCCATTTCAGAATTTCCATAAAGCTTCTGACTGTTACCGAACGTTGTTGTGCTGTAAAATCACCGTGTCTTGCTTTTCATACGTTTCTGCTCATTTCTCAGGCAATGCACGAATCAAGCGCTTTTGTTAAAGTGGATAACGTCGCGCACCATTTATTTCGCCTGGGTTTAGCAGCTCAAAATACACTACACTCGACGCTAAAATCACAATTTTCGAAGCGTCGAAACAAGCACTTTCTCCATGACTTATCGGTCAGCGCAGAATCACTACAAACTTCCACAAGCTTCAAGGATTTTCTTCCAATTAACATATATATTCATATCCAATCCAATCTTAGCAGAAATAAAAAAACACGCACTTTTGACGTAGACAATTATCATTGTATTTCTTTTGACTCCTGTTATTTCTATAGGTACAATATAACGGACACCCTTAGAATTATCTTCTACTTTGTCACCGTTACAACTTCATTTACATTAACATTTCTTTAAGCAACAACATATTTATACCAAGCAGGATAATAACTTTACAAATAAGTAAGAACACGCTAGAAGAAAAGCATTGCATTTACCTGTGTGCCATTGCATACGTACATAAATACTAAAAAGTACATTTGCATTACAGAAAGTGCTGTTGCACAACCATTTGGTCATATATTTGCACATTTCATACGTTTACATTGCTTTCCATCTTAATTCCGGCATCGCATGCTCTTAACAACTTTTTTATCGGAACTCGTTTTTCCTTTCATTCATTTGCTTTTCTTTATCATTTCACCACTTACTTGCCAACATACTTGTGTATGCTGTAATACACGTATGTACATATATACTCGCACAAAGATATGACATGCAAACACGAGTATGTGTATAAATGCATTTAAGTCATTTTTATGTGATACCTTGGTTACTCATTGTTATTGTTGTTGCGTTGTTCTCACCTTACAGTTGCCAAGGAGACGCCCGATTCGGACAATGATGCAACATGTGCGGAATTAAAGGCTGACGAAGGCTACAAGTCCTCGGTAAATAACGGCACAATAAGTCGCAGTTGTAGCCGTCCGATGTCAATTTGTTCGGAACCGGAAAAGAAATGGGTAGATGTGGTGGCAGGTAGGTGCATACAAACAGACCGTTATGTTGAAGTGGTTGCGTATGTTTTTTTTTACATCCATTTGCATTATTTATACGCAAAAACAATGTGGCATTCATTATGCTCGCATACGTGAATGAATTAGTTGCAAGTACATCTACATATGTACACGTATGTACATTTACACACATGATACACACTCACAGATCTTCTCAGTTACACGTGAGCGCTACCATTAAAACGTAACAGTGCTCACACGCGCCTTAAATTATCTACGCGATGCGGGAAAATTGCATTTTGTTTGTGTTACTCGGCAGTCGGCAGTCGACAGTCGGCAATTTGCAATTACGTACTCTTAATTATTTTCTACGTTTTAATTACGTTCTGTAATTTGCTTTCATTTCACTTTTAATTGACTTTTTTCTCCTTTTATTTTCTTATTATTCTCTTTTCATCTGTTCTTCCATCAACTCAACTCGTTCGCATTTCTTACCTTTGTCTGCGCATTGTGTCGTTACTTGACTGGCTGGTTTGCTCGCTGTTCCTGCACTTGACATTTTCATTTACTATTGCTGCTCGTCGCTCGCTTCCAACGTATTAATCTTGTGCATGAACTTCTTGATTGCCCGCTCGCAGTGCCGCTGATGATGGCCTACGTAACGCGATACATCTATGGCACCGATAAGCTGCGCCCCAATGCCTTTGAAGTACGCGGCCTTAATGGCGCCTCGACTGGCATAATACACTGTGATGATTTGGCTATTCTCAGTCAATGGCTCAAATTGATAACCGATAATGTTGTTGGATTGACACATTTACAAGTGAGTATGAGAGAATTCTTTATCCTTACAGTATTTATTTATTATAATATGTGTTATGCTAAGTTCAAGCTCAAATTTAAGGAGAAGAATTTATTTATGTTTTTTTTTTTCAATATTTATGGCAAAAAACTTTCATTTGCATTTATTAAATTCAGAAAAATTAAAAAAAAAATCATATTAAACACTCGTTATGCTAAAGAAATTACACTGAGAGCACCGTGAGAGAGAAAAGAATTGTTTATGTGCCAACGATATGATTGTCCACAGCCAACGGAGTGCGAGATTAAGGCGAGAAGAAAAAAAGAGAGAGACCAAAATGCATAACTAAAAAGAACAGAAAATGCTAAAAAAATTGTATGAAAAGATACTGTCGTTGAAAAAAGCCTTTCGACCCGCATTTCTCTACCCGGCTTACTTGCAGCGAAAGCAAAATATCCGGAGAGTGCGAACCCAAAATCGTCAAAGTAGGAGGCAACGTTTGTTTACGACTTTTCCTTAATGGCAGCAAATAACTGAACGAATTGTATGCATCAGCATCTCTACAGAATATGGTCGGATGAGAAGCATCAATAATATTGAATAATATATCCAATCTATCAAATTGAATAGAAGATTTAAGCGTATCGACAACGAATTGATTGGTAGACTCTGCAGATTCTGACATCGCCAAACGTACCAGCAGAACTGCGAGGAATTTTTCAATATGAAGGGCAGTCTCGATGACTACGATGAACTCGTAGATGGTTTCGTCTACCTATGGTACTCTTTAGAACTGAGTAAGCAATTAAAAAGTAAAGTCCTTCCTCGACGAAAAACTAAACTTTACAAGCCACTTATCATTCCGTTCTGCTAAATGGTGTAGCAGCGGTAAGCGTCCTGGCTCCACTTGATATTTCCAATCGGCGTCAAACAGCCAAGCAGACAAAGAAGAATGTATATCAAAATTAAAATCTAGTATAGTTTGGAAACTAAGGATCGCAAAATCTTCATTAGGACAATGACCTATGTAGGTCCTTTAAGTGATCTAAAATTTTAATTCTCATCATTCCACACTTATACCAATTTACCACTTTACCACTCTGAAATGCCAACAACCCAGTTTGCAAACACTCGCCAGTGCATTGTTCGCGCCATCAAATTAATTAACGTAATTACAATCATAAAAGCTGAAAGCTAAAACAACCAAAGTCCACTTGCATTTATGCATATACTAGGACATGTATATAGGGTTTTCCAATAACAGCAAGAACAGTGCTATGATTTCTTTAAAAGAAAACATATACTCGTTGTTAAGAAAATGCAAAAATATTTTTTATTCAATGTCAGGAGCACTCGATACAATTAAGTTTTGAATATAATATCATACAAATGGCCTCCAGGAGTTCTTTTGCGGTAGCGAATTCAATGAATCAAATTTTTGAGCACTTTTTCACTAAATCATGTCAAATGCTACGTTCATTATTGACTTTTAAAGCTTGAAGAGAGTCTGGCTTATTGCTAAACCCCAAAAGAAGTAGTCGAATGGTGTTCAATCACAACTTCTTGGAGGTCATTCAATGTCACAATTTCGTGAAATAAACAAATACCCAAACCTTTCCTCCATTATTTCGGTTGTTGTACGTGCTATGTGACACTTAGCCCCGCCGGTTTGAAACCAGATATTGTTAAGATCAATTTCTTCAAATTCTGGTCATAAAAAGTTAGTTATCATCAATCTATACCGCTGTCCATTGACAGTAGCGATGCCACCAGCTTCATTTCGAAAGAAGTACGTACCGGTGATTCCACCAGAACAAAAACCAAACCAAACTGTCAATTTGGGTGAATTTGATGTGTTTTCATGAATAATTTGTAGATTTTCTTCGTACCAGAATTGACAGTTTTGTTTTCTTACCGCAGCAGACAGACGAAAGTGAGCCACATCAGAGAGCATAAGTTTCTTAAAAAAATTGTTATCGTCTTCAAATTGTTGTTGGTTTTAAAAGTTGTTCTTGCGCCTATCTTGACGTGATGAAATTGTAAACATTACTGAATACAATGAAAAAAAAAATGACAGATCATGATATATTTAAAATTGCCAAAACGGCACTTAGAAATCATATCATCCCTATTGGAAAACCCTTTATATTTACCACTCGCACGATATCAAAGTATAATCAACTTAATCCATACAACAATGAAACAAAAGGATTTGCTGCACACAAGTGAGTTTTACGAACGCGAACCGACAGTGAAAACAGCAGCAACCACAAAAGAAGATAAACATACATGTCTATATGCATACATATATACTCATAAATAAACCACTTCCTGAACAATGCAAATGTATATGTGCTTAGCTATATAAGTGCAGAGAAAAGTCGGAATCTCAGGAGAGTGATAGAAACTCAAATAATGACAGGGATTAATGATGGCGATGCGCGAGAAAAGTTTAACGCAAAAACGGATTGTGGAAGGAAAAAAATAATGAAATCATGAATATATCGATGATTTGTTTCGCCATGCTCAGCCACACTATGATGAGCTGAAACACATGAGTGCCAAGCAGCAAGAATCAACTTTCACCTGAGTGCATTTTGCGGTCCCTTTGATGAGAAAATGAATCACTAAAGTTGCCACAGTGATGTCCATATATATAGGATATTTAAGTGCACTTGTTGCCAAAAGGAAAATGAAAAAGGCAATTTTCTGGCTCTCTTAATGCATTTATTTGAAATACTTTAAAAATCTTTGAGTTGAGTCTTGAGTCCAACGAATCGCAGCATAGATGGTTTCTGCTTTTCAATTTTCAAATTAAACGGTTTGACTTTTACTTAAGCCTCTCTTCTCCTAATTCACCTATGGCATACAAAGTGGTCCTTAATTGTAAAAATTTAAAATTAACACTTCAGCCAACACTCAACTTACACTCCTTCCAAAGAACAGTGATATTAATTTAACTCCCAATGCTGACCGTAAATCATTTGAGAAAAAAATCGATAGAATCTCCAAGTCCAATTCAATGGAAGGCCGGAAATGCGGAAATGCAGCAATTCAATGCAAACAAATGAAGCGCAAACCGACAGCCGCCTTTTTTGTTTCACTTTTATTACACCATAACTGTAACTATGCAAGTCTTACTATAACAACAAAAATAACAACAACAGCAACAAATCAAGACTGAACGAGACACAGCGCAGCTGAGTTGGCGACAAATCGTAGCAATGAAAACCACATATCGAGCAAATTGGATAGAGCAACCGGGAAAAGTTGGTCATAAATAAAGCAGAAAACAACTGTCATACACATATGTGTCTTTGTAACTACATATACTTGTATATATGTATCGGCGCTTTAATTGCGGTTGTTTGTGGCATGCGGCAAGTAATTGCTGTGACACTTGACAGCACCCATTAATCAAAAGCTGAAAAGTGAATTGAATCTTAAATACCTTATCAATAATCAATAAATTAGTTCGCTATAAAATGTTACCATAATAAAGCATATGAAAGAAATATATCTACAAATTTTCGAAATGAGATTTTCACAAGCCTTTTTTAGTTAGTAAAATGAATCTTCTTGAACAAGAAGAAAGGAAACATTTTTAATTTAATTTAAAGTGGCATTCTTTTTGGCTGGCCCGATGGTCTTTAAAATGCTGATACATTTTTAAAAATAATTCCTTGAAAATCGTGAAATAAATCCAAATTGACTTTCGTTTTAACTTATCAGGTCGACTTTTTGAATCGAGTGTGACATTGAGTCTTCATAATCGCTACCTTTGAGCCTCTCTTTGTAAGACGGTTGCCCTTGTTATTACGGGATTTGGATCCAAGTGTTGCAATCTAGCAACTGACAACTTTATCGTAAACTTTGACATTTTTGACACGTATTCAGCTCGTTTTGACATACGAGCGGTGTTCGTGTTGCTTACAGTGACTCAAAAAATTATCTTGACCCAAGAAAATGGAAATAAAACGCAAATATTTTTTCAAACGATTATTTTTCAAAACTTTCGACGTAGATTATCTCAGTAACAGTACATCGATGAACTTAATTAAATATTTGGGGTTGAAGCTCCATCAAGTGCCATTGTTTATCGTTGGTATGGAGAATTAAATCGAAGTCGTAGATCACTCCAAGATTAATTTGGTGAAGGTTGACTGTATCAGTTGTTGCTCCGGAAACTATTTGTGCTGCGCCTGTCCCGAAAGTAAAAAGCAATCGACTGTATAGGTTGAACGAATCAAACTAAAGTGGTTTACGCACGTAGCACTTCCAAGGAAAATCTTGCCCTTTTTTGGAAAACCTCTGTATATCCCAACCGTATCACTAGAAATATGCTGATCAGTAAATTCTGAGTGGAGCCTGGTCATTTGTTTGTCAGTTGTCTTTCAATAAATCAAAACTTACCCCCGAAGGTGTATCCCTCTTCACCACGACAATGTGAACTCTTACACATCGACTGAAACAACTGCATTTTCGGCAGAATCTTGTTTATGCTCGATTAATTCCATGTGCATGTTTTGGAGATATATTAATAAAAATGGCAAAAGTGTATAAGTGGAGAAGGAATATACTTTAAGAAACAATTAAGCGATGTTCGTTGAGTATTATTTAATTTTGATCTCTAAACTCGAAATATAAAAGACACATCTCGTAAATTTGTATCATTATCATTTATCATTGCTTACCCAAAAATCTAGCAAAAAAATTACATTATTATTTATTTCTCTTCCTTTATAATAGATGAAGCTTTATAATCGCAATTTTGCCGTAGGCGAACGCATCGAATACATGGGCTGGGTGAATGAAGGTGTTATTAACAATAATATCTCTTGGCAAAGTTACAAGCCGCGTTTTCTAGTACTGAAAGGCACGGAAGTAATGCTTTTTGAAACACCACCGGTAAGTGTGCCTTCGGTTTATATTATTTTACGCTGTCTATTTTTAACTGTTTTCAATATCAATTTTTTCAATGTTTTCAAAATCAAAATTCGGGCATAAAAACCTCAACACAAAACATAAAATTTTGAAAAATTAAAATTTTAGATTTTAAAACTAAATTAGATCTAATTCTTTACCCTATTTGTTCGCCGATTGCAGTAGCGCAGCGGATAACAGTGTATGCCATCGTACGATAGGTTCTGGGTTCGAAATTTGGGCCAGACCAACATCCATATTTACAGAAATTTAGTTAAAAAATTATAGTTCTTCGCCCGAGAGTGTATTTTTGACATTTAACAAAAAGTTTTCCAAAAGATTGCGTATTTCGTTCGGACACATCACAGAGTAGGCCAATCCATTTGTTGTAAAAAAAAATTCTATTAAACACCACAAATTGATAGTGCAGCTCGCTTCAGCGGTTAAAAAGCATTACAAAGCATACGTTGTCATATACATATATATTATTTTTTTTTAATTTTCTGAAACTCTCTTTTTCCTCAACACAGAAAGCTCTCAAAATAATACAATTAAAATTTTTGATTGGCATAGATTTAAATTTATATGCATTAAATAATCAAATGCACTTTGATGGATTTTGTAAAAGCCAAAAGATATTGATTTTCAACTAAAAACTAAAACTGACGCAAGCTTTTTGACTTATGCATTTGAAATGGTTATTGAATCAAATCGGAACTATTGTGTTTGTATAAAACAAATAAAAAATATTAAAAAGTGAACTCTGAAAATATCTCAGCGTTTTACATGTATACGCTTACATAAAGATAAACACACATACTCCTCGCACACACATCGATGCAAGAATGTGTTTATGTCTGTATGCAGAAATGCATATTTCGAACGAATATTGATTTTAAAATAAATGAAACAAAAAAATAAAATTTACATATTGATGTTACACTTTGCGAACCGTTACAACCGCCCATTTGAAAAACGGAAACGAATTTCAAAATACCAAATATGACAAGCAGAGATTTTTTGCGCTCACCATTTTGCGTGTCTCCATGACTGTGGCAAAGCCACTAGTAGCAAGCCAAACCATTTTCTACCACCTACACTTTACGCCAAGCGGCAGCAGCAACAACAACGACAAATATACTGGAAAAAAATGTGTATTGGACAGCAACGATAATAAAAACGGCTTATATGTAAATTGTGTGCTCAAAAAAATACAAATTTCACATACGTACATATATAAATAGGCGTACGCGTTTGTGTATACTCGTATGAACTGACTCTGAGTACTAAGGGGTATACTTCCGGCGAATTTGATAACTTCCTATTTCATACGCTTTACCAAGCACACGTTCATATGCATATAAAATCATATTTTTTCAATTTCTTATTTTCCCACTTGCTTCCGGTTAAATTTGGCCTCAAGTCATGCATGAAATTTCCATTTAAGCGCAATTATTTTTAAATTTTCTCTGTTATAAAAGGTAAATTGAATTTTTGAGAATTGCCATAGCTTAAAAATATGTACTAAATTATTACAAAAAAAAACTTTTAATATTAACGTAATAATCTAAAATTGAGAAAGCATATTTAGGTACAAATTTATTATGTCCAAATTCTAGAGATCGCCCTACATTCATAAGATTTATGGGAATATGCATTCGTCTTTATTATCTCTTCATAATACGTTATTTGACCCAAATACTCTGTGCATTCATTCAAAAACGAAAATTCAAATTTGCATAACCGAAAATTGGAACAAAGTAGGGCAAAACCACAAAACCAAAAATGCCTGTAGCTCATACAATATACGAGTATGCATGCTTTAAATGCGAGTGCGTACATTAATTAATGAATATAAGTGGTGTGCCATATGCTCATGAGCGAATTACAAAAAACAGAATAAAATAAAATATACATTTGACTAGTGTATGCTGTAAGTATAATCTTAACATATTATATATACATACACATACATACACAAACATATGTGCATATTTATCCACTAATTTACTACAAGTCTGGTAAATAAACACACATCACTCATACGCCCCGTACAACCGCCGCTGCACATACAGCAAATTGTTGCTCATTAAAAGTGTGCGCCGAACTCGACGACAAGTTTTTATGTATTTTTGTAATATTAACATTTTTTAAGTGCATAAGTTGGCTCACTCATAATTATTACTTATACATATGTAAATATTAGGTAAAATGGGGTTATACAAACTATAGCTCTCTACGTATTTTTTTTTTGTATTGAATTAGCGGTTATTAAAAGCTTATAAAAATGTTGGAATTGAAAGCTCGAGATATGTATAAATGCAGTTGAGCAACGAATTAATATAATTTTAAAGGCAATTAAAATATTCAAAACACGTTTTACATATATGTAAAAAAGTTATAGACCGCCAGACCGATTCGGGATGATTCAAGTATTTGCATGTGTTTGTTCTTTTAGCGCAACTTGTGAAGCCTGGTCCTTCTGAACCTGATCATTCTAACCGAGTGGAGGTCTTCCTCTTTCTCTGTGGGAGATATCTGGAGATATTTCGTCTTGACCTCTTTCATTACCATATATTTTCACCTCCAGGCCGATGATGTTAATATCATTGACATGCGCCAGTCAGTTATACGTTCTTACAAAAAATTGTATCTTCTCTATTTATCTCTGTAGCTCGTATTTTTCTCCATTATGATGTTGAAGGATTCATTCATTCGTCATTCACAAAAAGAGTCACCTGAAAGTTCGTTTAGTATCGAATAGCTTTTGGTGCTGCTGAGCGGTAGCTTACACAGCTATATAAGTTTTCCGCTTGAAGAGCCGTTCCGTACCAAAGACCAAGCAGCTGACGAACGCTCTCAGAGAGCAGGCGTGAATACAACCTAGACAACTGTATAGCTATATGTTGTAATTGCGATTTTTTTTTTGCTTTCTGACAACATTTTTTCTGCGACAACGGTCCGAGCCAATATTAGGTCCTCAAGTGCGCAAGAGACATGTCGTCCATCTATTACCACATCATCAATCTGGTTGTGAGTTTTCGCTCTGGTGACATCCGAGCGAGTTTCTTATTCCTTTTCTGCTGGAATTAAAAGACAATCATATTTTGATACCCAGCGAATTCGATTAGTCTCCAGCGGTTTTGATTCGTATTAAGAATAGATATTCATACAACGGGGTGAATGACCAGACTCGGTAGCTGGTTCTCTTTACAACGCCAAGCTTACTTTTATTTAACAACAATTTACCGTGCTTATCGAATTCCCTTCGTATACACAGGCATATATGTGCGTATGTACAAAAAATACAATGTTTGCATAAATTATTCATTATAAGGTGTCTACACTTGCCTATTCGCACATACTGCACGGAAGCAATGAGGAAAAAATATCGATTTTGCTTTGCAAAAAGTGCGTGCTTTATTTTTCAAATTAATTCTCTCTGCTTTATTTTTCATTTGTGTTGCGGTGTGTCTTATTTATTTTTATATGCAAATTTCTGCGTACCTCACCACTCGCCGGCCACTCGCCGCCCGCTGCGCACACGCATACATGTACACCTTCCAGCTTTGTCTAGCTCTCAACTTTTTTTGGTTTGGTATCTCGCTGTTTTGGCAATTTACAGCATGTCATGAATGTGTATACGCATGTACATATTTGCATATCGGTTAATGCCCTCCAAAGCGCCGTGGCAGCACCATCCATCACCACCAACACCATGGAGAGCAAGCACGCATGACGGCCTCTGTTTGTTTAAATGCCATGGCCTTTGAGGGCGTCAATTTGTGGTAACTACATGTGTACCACCTGACACCTGCGGAGCTATTGATTCTTCATTGTAATGGCACTACATGGGGGGTTAAATACACGTCCTTAATATGTACGCCAAAATACATTTTTATTTGTTTTAAACAATGTGTGATTATGTAAGGCAAACAATTCCTTCGGCTAAATCGAGTAGCAGATTCTAGAAAAATTTAATGGATAAACATTTTTAAAAATTTAATATGATTTTAAAAATACAATGCTGATGACTCAAATATCTTTTTTTTAATAAAACAAAATAAGCTCTCTGCTTTCAAAAAAAAAACTCTATTCAATTCATATTTTTAGGCATATTCTGGTATTTTATTATTTTTTTTTTTTTTTGATTTGGAATAAAATTAAATTTCTTTCAAATGAGAATGATTTTGAACAACCTTATCTAGTTATATACACACTTGCACATACATACATGCTGTCGAATTTTTCCATCATATCACATTTCAATTTGTAGGCAGACGGTTCGAATGCCTCCAGCATTTTTGAAATTACTCTACATTTCATTCCCTTAAAAGCCTTCGCTTATGTTGCGTCCATATTCTTACAAAGTCATCCACTGCCTCTGCGCGGATAGCAAGCAATTCATGTCGCGCCGCTGTCAATCGCGTTTTCTGTCATTTTGGTCTTTTGTAATAAATTCGTAAATCTATTTTAAGCGTCTTTATTGCTTCTCGTATGTTTGTGGCAATATACATACATACATATAAATCTTCTCGAACAATCTCATTGTTATATAATTTGGTTGTATTTACTTTTGAAGAAATGATATTCCGCCCCGAGGTGTCATGAGTCGATTAATGTTTTACTCGGTTGTTATTTGGCTTTAAAATATGGGCAATTATTTGACAATCTTTCTCAATTTGTTTGAATTTTGTGTTCTTTTTACCCAAATTATTTAAACATCAATCAATTTAGATCTAATATGTGACACAGAGCATGTACATAATTAACACTGGCTCAAATTTTCAATATAATTTGAAAAACACTCTATTATTTCATAATTGTTGTTGCGGCCCTTTTTTAAGAGTTTTTTATTGGTTTGTTTATATGAATTTTTGTAATAAAACAAAAAACAATGTTAGAAGTGATAGCTGTTTTGGAGATCACTACATCTTCCCGTCAGACTTCTTATGGCATAGATCGGACCAACGGATCCTGACTCTACAGGCGAATGCTCTTATTCTTCGTTAATACTAAAACTAAAATTGAAAAATTTGCCAGTTAGTACCCTTCAATATATCATCACATATTCGTGCTTGCACTTCATTTTACGCAGTAAGTACAACGCCTTGTAGCGTACGAGTACCATATATTTATGTATGTGGGTTTACCTTCAAGTATTTACTCGTCACTGGCTTTGTTAACTAATCAGCTTAAGAGAGTATAATGTGTCCTCGAGCTACATTAAACGATTAGATGTCAATAACATGTTCCTTTCTGGTATTGAATTTTTCATGAATTTAGAATAAAAAGTATGATGAATTTTAAGGCCGAATATTAAGGTTTTGCTAGAATTGAAACTTTCATTCACTTCACTCTTTACAAGGCTTGGGCATTAATCAGACAATTCCACGTTGGTGGCACATTAATGAGAGTCCATTTTTTAGTGAAAAAAAACTATTTAGCGTTAATAGTAAGAAATAAAATAAAAAAATGATGGTAAAACAGAATATTTAGTCCGTTTCAATAATATTAATAATAAATACTTTCCGTAATAAGTTTTCAGTGAGCAATAGGCCTGGTTTGTTTGTATGATTTGATTATTTTTTGTTATTCAACAAAGAAAAATAGTGGAAGTGACAGCTGTTTTGGAAATCACCACATCTCCTCATCCTTACTACTTTTAGTAGAATGTCATTTATAATACATGCAATCACCAGAAATCAGGTCAAAATGTTGAAGCTTAGGGAGATAGCAAGATCACAAGAATTCTCCCTCGGAAGGAATGAGTGCTCAAAATTTCCAAGTTCTGCTGCCATATTTGCTATCATGTCTGATGTGAGATGTCTCGTTCTTGTTTACCTTGCCTTCATATAATTTCTGTCTATTCTATGCCTTTACAAAAACCCTACAAAAGGCGACGCATGTGAATAGAATTTGATATTATTGAGATGTTATTCACACATGCCGATATCTAAATAATTTTTGTTTCTGAAGTTTCTTAAAACTATAAATTATAAAGTTTTACGCAAAATTCTCTCAAATGGTGCAACATTTTGTCGGGCGTATGAGTAATTTTAGTGACTTGTGATGAAAAATTTCTTAGTTTCCAATGAAGGGCTAAATAAGAATAAGTTTCAGTGAAAATGTTTGCCTTAGATAAAAGCAAAACTTTTAAGCTCTGCCATGCAAAAAAGAGCATGAAAAACAGTTACTTGAAAATTACAAGTGTTTTGAGCTCCAAATTTGTTTGCAATATACATACATGCATATACACATATCTATGAGTTTCGTTTTCAAATAAAATAATATTATGAAATTTAACTTATTTGATTTTTATTTATTATTTTTCCTCCTTTATTTCTTCTGTACGCATACGCAATCAACCACAAGCTAAACTAGCCGAGCGGGAATGCGCTTAAGCAAATTCTCAAAGCACGCTTTTGATTATAACTTATGTACTTGTATATACAGTACACATAAAATTTATAATATCAGAATATACAGACATAACCGCAAAGTGGAGACCTTTCTTAAAATTATTTTTAATAACTCTTCGATACTTTTTCTTTGGTCTTTTTTATTTCTAAAACTTAAAATGTATTAACAAACATTTTCAATACGAGCTTTCGGCAAAATTGAAATTAAAACCTGTGAATATACGTATGTGCTAAGGACAAATGCAATTGTCGGAGATTTTTAATATGTCAAGTTCTAACATGCGTTGATGGTACTAACAACTTATAGTCTTAAGCTGAAATGATTAAAAAGAATTTATATATAAATACCTTACATTTGTATATATGTTGGCAGGTGCGTATGCGTGTGCTTTTCGCTAAGCTGATCATTCAATATTAAAAAAAATATGAAAACATGAAATATGTGGAGCGGAGACTGACTGAAAGCCATAATCAAAAAAAGCAAAATTTAAATGGATAATTTGAAAGAAAAATGCTGAAATGCTCAAAGAAAATTATCAAAATAAAGATGTCCTCTTGCATGTTTAAAGCGGGCGGCCTAAAGGTTTTATAAATGCATTTATAAGTTTGTGTGCCATTTAAACACAAAATTTTATGAAAAAAAATTGGAAAGTCATTTAAATTTATATAATTCGTAAGACATATATGAGACCACAATACTTAAGTTGAGTTTGCCGCTCTTAAAAATTAAAAAATATTTTTTTATTATTTAAGTAAAGAAAATGATGAAGAGGGCAACATAAAATTAAAATTTATCTTCGCTTACACATTATTTACATGAGCCCACACTTATTGATCAATTACCCCCATTCAACCTCAACTTTGATCGAAACATTCAAAGATGCTCAAACTACTTACCTCTGAATAAAAATTTATTGCATCTTAAGCCAATCATTTCAAATATTTCTAAACATTTTTTGTAGTTTTATTGCAATAATCAGGCAAAACTGGCATAGAATTGCAGTAAAAAGGAATTTTCTAGTGCACGTCCAGTATAAGGCTGACAACAAGATTATTTCCCATACACACGTTCGCATGTAGGTATGTATGTCACGTATACGCCACGTGGTAGCGAATGAAGACACATATGTTCCCCATAGAGCAACACAATGAACTTGCTTCAGCAAACTTCAAAGTAAAAATGGCACAGAAAGGGATAAACATTAGCATCTTCCTTGCATGCACATGCAGCACGCTGCATACACAAACACACTTACTATTATATATATGTACACATTTGTACGTGTAATACGAAAGCTGACAGCCAACAGGCGCCAGCCAAACTTACCGCAACTCGTGTCGGAACGTGCAATTCGCTTTACAATGAGAATAAAAAATAAATTGCGACATCAAGCAAATAAGAAATGATGGCAAAGGGAACTCATGGCTAACTAACAGCAGAAAAGAAAAATTGGTATAAAATTTAGTTTGCTTTGCTGTAATGGAAAATATTAAAAAATAAAATTAAAATTAAAATAAAAATAAATGGATAAAAAAAATGCGGAAAGAGTAGTGTATAAAAATAAGTTGAAATGGAAAATCGCATTTCCTTTAGCGCTTTCTGATCATATCGCTATGCATAAATGTATATATGTGTGTGTGTGTGTGTTATGAAATAGCCAAGCATTGCGCGGGACAAATATATATGTAAGTATCTATTTTTACAAAAAAAAAAATACTCGAAGCATTTATACCATGCAGATAAAATTCGTATTTTATGCTGTAACTGTGCAATCGACAATATTGTTGTTGTTGCTCCGGTTTCAAGGCAAACGGAAATGTTGCTGCTACGAAATGGTTTAGTACAAGTACAGGCACTGTGGCGTGAATTCGTTGAAAGTTGGTGTAAAAAAAACTATTATATAATTTTATAATATATTTTTATTTTAAAAAAGCTTTCTCAAAAATTGTAGCAAAAATAATAAAATACAACAAGATTGCGTAAATAAATAGTTGGAAAATATATCTAGATAATATCTGCAATATATGATGGCCACCCATTTGAAATTATCTTAATGCTTTCGGTATATTTTTTACTGTTTGGAATATTTGCGTATAGCCAGAGCTATAAACCTTTAAATATTACATTCAGGGATATTTGTGATGTGACCAGATGATCTTTTATATAACTGGTGCTTGTTACCTCGGCGGAGCTCCTCGCTCCAGTTTATTCTAAGTCACCTCCGAAAGCCCGATGCATATTTATGAAGAACTTTTATCTTTATGTCTGAAATACACTTTGAGGTCTTGATGTTCCCTGCCGAGAACCGACTGTAATTAGAAAAATTAATTTTCTATAAGTTTGGATGTTAGTTGAACCAGAATTCGAACCCTGGTCTTCAGAATTGCAGTGCGCAATGCTGATTGAAAAAACTATATATTTTATTCAAAATTTACCCGACTCCTCATTGATCTGTGCAGAAAGTATCCCTTGTATTAATCTAAGTAAAATCATCAACTAAATTTCGAGCATAATTTATGGTAAAAAATATTCCATTTGCTAAATCATAAATAATTCATTGTCTAGGTCACTTCCTGAAAAGAACCATAATATGAACTTTCAACCCCTTCCTTATCCTCGTTCCGAAAAAAAACTTTGGGTAAAAAAGAAGTTCAATGACAAACACCCAAACAGAACATTTATATATAAAAAAAAATTCCGAGATATCGGTTTTCATTTTTTATGAAACAAATCAAACTAAAAACGGAATAAAATCCAAAAATTACAGTTTGTTCTAAACCTAAACAAAATCTGCTTCATTGCAACACTGTGCGCACTGTTATAAATAATCGTCAAGGATAAATAATTATAAATAAACAGAAAAATTTATAATAAAAAAGTAAAGAAATAAAATAATAAAATAATAAATAAGCATGAAATCAGCGCAATTAAATAGAATAATGCTCACAACTTTTACCAATCAAAACAACTTAAAAGAACGTAAAGGAAAAAAATAAGCGCAGAAATTTCAAGGACCCGCAAAGCTTATTACGCTGTAGTGCTGCTCCCGCAAACGCCAGATGCGGCCTTGTTTGTGCAAATGTGTGGAAGTGAATCGCCTTTTTTATTTAAGCCAATTTAAGCGAAGCCTACATTTCAGTCTATTTAAAATATATATATATTTTTTTACAAGCTGTGGGTAGTTTACATTGTGTATGTATATGTAGAAGGAAAAATTGAAAAAATGTCAGTGGAAAGGGAACAAATGATTATTTTTACTTACAAAGCAAATTAGATTTGGTTAAATGAATTGATGTGCCTACGAGCAATAACTTCCATTGTCGCAGGATTGCCTCATTTAATGCTCCGTTGCTAATTTTGCTAGCTGAACGCAGCACTGATTTCTTACTCCCTTTTTTTGGTCTTTGATTTCCTTTATTCTTATGATTTCCACAAAGTACAACAAATTTTCAATTTGATCTTCTTTTCCTTCTTCTTCTTTCAATTACAGCTAAACGTCGCTGGTTTGTCGAAAGCTTTGGTCGCTTACAAGGTCTACCAGACGATGTTTCGTGTTGTGAAAGAATCGGAAACGGTGGACAGCCGTCAGCATTGCTTTCTGCTGCAGAGTTCCGGTCATGAGCCACGCTATCTGAGCGTTGAGACGCGTCAGGAGTTGCTGCGTATTGAGAATAGTTGGAACGCGGCCATAGTGACGAGTGTAATTAAACTGGGCGTAAGTTTTTTCACACTTCTTTTTTTCAATATACATACATCTATATGTGTGGGTGTACGTTCCATGCAATGAACGCACGAACAATAAAATTCTAGTTTAAGATGAAACCATGTCAATTCGCTATTTATTGAAAAGTCACCAGTAACGGGCGAAACTAAAATTTCAGTCACCACACCATCAGTACGTCGTGTGAATTTCTTTTTTTATTACACTAAGCCCATTTTATTGTTCATATAATCTACGAAAAGAAGTCGAGTGGTCAGAGGTTGTCGCTGAGATGCAGGAGATTCATTCGCCAAGCACAAATAAACTGGTATTTAACTAGTTAGAAGCTGATGACAAGTCGCGAAGTTGGCATTTCATAGAATATTGTCATTTAAAAGGACTAAGTTGGAATGGATAAAATATTAGTTAGTATTAATTTGTTAACAAGTAAAAATTCTGGTTAACAACTAGTAACATTGCTTTTATAATATTTGTGGGAACGTGTGAGTAAGTATGTGATGAAGCGATTTACTTGTTTTGTAGCCAACAAATGGCAATTTTACATTTTACGGTTATTTCGTTATACGCCGCATATATACATACATTTGTAACCAAAACGATTTCCGTTTACATACATCGGTGGTTTTCTCGACATATATACCTCAGTTTTATTTTGCTTGTATATTTTGGCTTGTTCCAAAGCAAATGATATACTAAGTATTCAGCAGTATATTAGGGTGTGGCTTAGAATATTTAAATTAATATTTATCAGATCTTTTTTTATGTTTCAAAATAGTTTTAAAATCAAGTAAATTTTTGGTAACTTTCAAAAAATTTTCTGAAACTATTTTTAACGTAATTTTCCATAAATTTAGTAATTTGATGGCTAAAAATCTTTAAACCATGTTTTGAAAAAAAAAAATGGAATTACTCCATATAAAAACATTAATTCAAGTTAAAATATTCTTTCTTTTAATTTAATCACGATAAAATAACCAGCAGTCGATTACCTCTTGTGAGAGGGCCGCCCTAATATACATGTGAGGATTCACTACCTTACATATGTCTTTCTCTGGCCATTACAGCAATTACCGGCCGTCAGTCACTTGTACAAGCGCTCATCATTATTGTCCTTGTGGTGTGGCGTTTTGCATGTTGGCCCACAATTAGTTCAAACCAACCGACCAACCGACTTAATTTAACATTGTCTACAAAGTTTCTGTTTATAATCACGTTATTTCGCTGGGTTTTGTCTTTTTCCTGCAATTTAACACACAGCATTGCATGATACAACGCAAACATATGTGTGAGTATGTGTTCAAAATTTATGGGTGAAACAGCAGACGGTTCATGTTTATGCGTAAATTTACGTGGAGTAAGGTCAAGGGTATTCGTAGCAATATTATATAACTGACAAAACACCGAGTGATGGTTAAGATGGCAAGTTTGTAACAAATTCTGCAAATTCGCGCTCACTTGAATAAAAAATAGTTAAGAATTCATGAATTATCGCTGCCTGATAATCGCCTAAATATGTAGAAAAACTAAAATGAAATGAAATAAAACAAAAAAAAAAATAAATATAAATTAAAATAAAATTAAAAAATTTAACTAAAAAAAAACAAAAATGCAAACTTAAAATATAAAATAAAATAAAATGAAATAAAGTAAAATAAAAAAATTATATCAGAAAAAAAAATATAATACAAAATAAAACTAAAAAAATAAGAATAATAATAAAATAAAACAAATTAACACAATATACTGATATGGTATAATAAAATGATGTCAAATAAAATTAAAAAATTCTATAAAGAAAAATAAAATAAAAAAAGTATAATATTACAGTATAAAAAATAAAAATTAAAATACATAATATATATCAATTAACTAAAATAAGATAATTTTATATAAAATAAAATGAAGTAAAACAAAATAAAAAAATAAATTATTGAAAAACAAAATAAATTAAAATTAAATAATATGAAATAAAAGGAAATCAAATAAAATAATATAAAGTGAAATAAATAATATAATATTATATAAAATAAAATCAAATGAGATAATGTTAAATAATATAAAAAATAAAAAAATTTAATGGAATAATATACAATAATAAAAAAAAAAAATTAAAAAAATAAAATAACTGAAGTAAACTTAAATTAAATTAAATTAAGTTAAATTGAAATGAATAAGGTAAAATAATACATTGAAATATAAAATGAAATAAAATAATACAAAGTAAAATAAAATTAAATAAAAAAAATTAAAAAAAATAAAGCAAAATAAAACCAAAGACACTGCATAAATAAAACTAAAGGAAATAAATGAAGTGAAAAAAGTTTTAAAACAAAATGAAATGAATTAGAAGAAAAAACACATAATAAAGCAAACAGAACAGAAAAAAAAATTTAATGAAATACGAGATAATAAAAATATAAAAATAAACTAATCAAATAAAATTATTTATATAAAATAAAATGAATAAAGTGAAAATTAAATTAAATTATATTTAAAAAAAGAATAATAGCCGCAACAAAGTAACTTGGTAATACATAAAATAGTAAAGCCTTTGCGCATAAAACCACAGCCATCAGTGACGAAAAAAGTAAAGTCTAAACCACAAAAGTTCACTAGCATTTCAATTGTACATTTGAGAAAAAATACCGAATGTGTAAACATGTTTACCTTGCTAGGTGCATACCAATGTATGTTTACGATGGCATATTAAACATTGTTGCATGTAGCCGAAGTAAAACTAACAATTTAAGACCATGTCCAGACACTAAAATCACATACCAAATACTTCAGAGAATATGTATTCAAAAAGAAAGTCATATGTGCTAAACCATCATATTAAGTTGTGGTTATGAGCATACAAACCAAAGTCATAAGCACCTAAAACCAAGCGTACTCACCTACATGATACATATTGCACATACGTGTATGAGAAAAAATATCTACATATACTCATAGTATTTGGTCGCATGGCGTCACCGCCCTTGAGCTTTCACGACTCTTAACTTCTGGTTAACATAACTTTCTCACAATGTCCATTGTACGCCATTGCTCTTTCCTTGGTTGCCTTGTTGCTTGCTACTTGTTCGAGGACTTTTGTTCTTTCGAAAAAAAAAAATAAAATCTACTTACTCGCTCATATTTCGTGTAATACCGAAAAGTTACTTGTTGGCAATCAAAGGACCTCTTCTTAGACTGCTTACACGCTCCAAGTACAATGACCGCCATTTCGATGCGGTGATTTCATAGTTACACATACAAATACGTAGACGTTCTTCCTTTCATACAAATCTTCAAACTGCATTTTGTGCGTGTATGTGTGTGTTGTAGCAAGGTGGCACCAATAGTTACCAAACTTTTTTACACTAACAAAGCATCTCAACAACCAAACTTGCTATTAAAGATTTTTTGCTAACATGCAAGCGCAGGTCTGCGTGTGTATGTGTGTATAAGTGTGTGGATATGTTGCCAGTAGCGTCTTGCGAAAGGCATGAAAAAGAAAAGAGAAAAGGTACAAATTAGACGAAATCGATAAGTATACCAAGGCAGTAAGTGGTCGCGTGTCTTTGAGCAAACATACAAATACTTGTGCACACAAAGACAAATATAATATGTAAATTCAGTAAAATACAAACCAAAGAAATTTGCCGACATAGAAGATATTATGTTCTCAACGCTCGAAGGCGTAATTCTGGTACTTCTCATTAAATGATTAATTTTGTTCGAATATTTGTGTGTGACATGTCCAAAAATCTCAGGACTTGAATATAAAAATCTAAAAATTGTTTTAATTTCCAGTGTTAATTTTTTTTATTTTTATTTTATTTTTAATTATGATATTACTTTTCGTTACTTTATTTAAAGTTGGCTACTCAGGTTCCATCTACCGGACACTTTTGGCCCGACTATATTAGGAATAACACAAGCGCCATTCTCAAACATCTACAAGTGTAAGTTTGGATTGATTGTGGTTTGGCATGGCAATATTTTGTGTTTCGTTTTTACAAACTCAGTGTAGTCAACAAATCGTCTTTCTCGTGCTCACATAAGTTTGCCTCGGTCCATAAATCTTTCGAAAGTCATCTCATCATTTCATAAAATTTTCAATCATTACTCGAATGTCGATAAACATTTCATACTTTTCTAACACTCACTGTATCGCTTCCTCCTCAAATCTTGCTATCTTTACCATATTGTTTGCCTTGTGGTCGATCAAAGAAGAGAATTGCAGTCGAAAACTGCTTGGCTGTTCACGTTGCCTTCATTGTGTCTATCTTCCTTGTGTATGTTGACGAAAGCTTAGCCCGACGAACCCAGACTATTTGGACCGGCATTTGCGCCGAAGATACCCTCTTTGTTCACCTAGGGTAAAATTGTCATCATGGAGGCAACAGTGTACATAGGTGAGCTCAAGATGCGGAAAGTAAATTTGAAAAAATATTGAAAAATCTTTCTAAAATGCTTCTTGTGACAAAGTGTTCACCACAAACTAGGGTGAAAGCACCCAGCAAGAAAATCTGTACTCATGTACATGTGATAAGCATCTATTCATATTCATTCTTACTTTGCCGAGGACAATAACTAGTTGAGCACCGACAATATCCCCATTTAGGGACCGAACATTCCAGGCATGCCCTAAAACCTAATCCTAAAAAATCAGTTGATGAATTTTCATACTATGTACAAAATAATTCTGAAGCTTTTGGAGAGACTTTAACAGCAATGTGAAGACAGCGGCGGAAGGGAGTAGGCTTAGGAAAATACTCCTTCGTTAAGCGCTAAAATGGGGGGAAAAGGCCGAGGGACTTTCTTATAAAAAATCATATTATATATATATATTCCTGATACATCCGCAAGTAGGTTATCGAATCCTTAGGGATATCACAATGGGCCCCCTTTGGTGGCCTGAGTAAACTTATGTTCAACCAACTAAACATGCAGTTCAGCTTATCATTGCAAAATTTTGGCTTAGTTTTTATATATTCATCCTTTAAATACCAATTTAAAACTATAATTTCCATACTAAATTTCCAATTTCTTGCAGGGAATATACCTAGATAGGTAGATAATAAATATCAATAATCATTAAAGTTATGAATTCTCAAGAAAGATATTACTTTCAGCTGTTGAAAATAATTGAATTTTATCGCATTGGTCAGGTCACCACAAAGGCGCTGTTAAGAACATTTGATTAATAGTGTTAAAGCTTTTCAAATTCTACGCGCCAACAAGCACTCAAGAACACTCGCACACAAATGAACATACGAGATATGCGAGTATATACTCGAGAGGATACTTGTAATAAAAATGTGAGATTTTATAAGAGCGCGAACTTATGTACTACGTGTATGAATGTGTGTACGAGTAAGTAAGTATTTTTCGCGCAAGTCGCTGCCAGACAATTTGATAAGTGGATAAACTTTTTGATTCGCTTATTTCCACAATGTTGTCGCATTATTTATATATTAATCCAAGTACGCGTCCATTATTACTTAGAGAATGGTTGTTAGCTTGAGCTGAATAGTGGTTGATAGCGTAGATAAATAAGCGGTCAGTCGTCTGTAGAGAACTATTTTTTGTATGTAATCACAACTTTTGTTTCATATAAAGGGAGAATGTCGGAGAGTGGCATTCAGTTTTAGACTATTCATGCTTTACCAAGGTTCACGAAGGATTTAAGCAATCCTAGGTATGTCAATAAGATGAAAAGGATGACATTCCAGGTCTACCAATTATGCTATAAATCTGGATAATTTTATGTACAGATGCCTTAAAAATATATATATATATTTAATTATGATTTTGTTTTGAAGTTAGTCTCGTTTTCTGTGGACGGAGGTTGTTTTTGTCATACACATATATACTCATAATCGAATTTTTGTATTTTTTCAGTTTTAATATTAAAACAATCAATTATTTTAATTAGTTATTATGAAAGGCTAAGACTTGAGAATTCAAAAGAAATAAAACTAGTCTGTACAAAGGGTACTCCTTATTTACTCTGCCTTAGTCCTGTAAAGAAAACCCAACAACAAACTTTATTGTCATTATTTTCTTTAGACTATTTTACTTTAATTCTCGATTCTTGGCTTCTCTTTTGCGAGACATAAAATACTTTAAATATAACATTCCTCGTTGCAATTGTCGCAGCAGTCGTAACTTTGTATTATTTAAACAACTGTTTTCCTTTTCCACGCTATTATTAAATTTTTCTTGCATTATTTTGAATTTTTTTCTTACAGCGCAAAACGTTCGCCGTCTCACATCATGGCAAGAGTGGCGGTCTGACGTTGGACTGGCAGTCAGGTTTCTCACTGGCGGAGGGCGCCGACTCGGCCATCGTTTGGCAATATAAATTCTCGCAACTACGCGGCTCTAGCGATGATGGAAAATCAAAATTAAAATTACATTTTCAGGATCATGAAACTCGTGCAATTGAAACAAAAGTAAGTGCGCATACATACAAAAGAGCACATAGAAATAGCGTGAACACTTAATCCAACCATAGCCAGAACTACACTCCACTTGCCACCAGCCCTCCCTACTCCCTCTATGTGTGTATATGATTGATGGTAATGAGTTCAGCGATGGCGTATGAAAGCAAAGGAATGTTGAGGGCGACTGGCGAATAGCGAATGGCAGTTGCATGCGCCTGTCGGCAAAAGCCCTGTGACAGCCGTATCAAAGTGCCATTTCGCTGTTCTGCTATTTTGCCATTCCTGTGTGCCTCCTGCCACTTGCTTGCTCCTTTTTGTTTTTTTTTTTTTGCAAATTTAGAAATGTATAAAACAACATTGGAGTATAAGTAACAAGGACCAATATAGTCGAAGTGTTTTTTGTTGAAGCAACATTGGTTGTACTACCATAACTCAGTCTCCTTACTTCAGTCTTATTTTTGTGCTATTTTCACATTTTCTTTTTTTTTGTAAAGCATTTTTTGCTCAAGTGCGCCTACTCTTTTATATCGATAGAAATAGCGGCGGGAGTTTTTTGCTTTTGTTTTTAGTTCATAGTTTTTTATTTTTTTTTTCCTTTCTCGCTGCTTTTCATACTCTTCGCTGCTCTTTTCACATTATTATTTTACGAAGTCCGCCTTTATGTAAGCTCTTCTTCCCCCTATAAAGGACTATGTAGGACTGTTGAAGTCCTTTATTTCAAATACAAATTTTTCATGGAGTTGCTTTTAAGTAGAGTTTCAATCTGTAGTTTTTCGCCAAACTTTCTTGAGAAGTGCTCCGAGAAAAAAAGCAAAACCGTTATGTTTTTGTATGTGCAACATGTTTATTTTATCGTCATTATGATTTTGGTATACACAATTTGGTTGCAGTTGATGAAGTGATTTAAATGTATGCACATTTGCAGAGCGAGAAGAAATATGGAAATTGTTTATGCTAAAACCCATAGTCATACATCAATTGTAACTGTATGCGGGTGAAATGTTTGTTGTGGCAACAACTCGGTGACCCATATATTGATTGCTGTTGACTTAAAAGCTTTCGCTATGCATTCAATATTTAGTAGTTTACAATCGTTGGCTACATTTGAGATATTTTAAATATTCGTTGAAAGGAGTTGAAGAATACTTTTGCTAATAACTGGACTTAAAAAAGTTTGAATATTTTAAAATAATTCCATATAAAGTTAAATAACAAAAAATTGGTACAAGACGGAGACTTCACTTAATTATACCTTATCCTTATCCTCCTACTGCTCAACCGGCTTTCGGTACAGATCGGCTGGTGCTAGACTGGCTGATTGAAGACTATACAAACTTTTTAAACCTTATTTAAAGTTTTACTTGTATTCACGAACATTTTTGTGCTTTTTCCCTATACTTCAAAACTTTTTCTATTGACATTGCCAAGACGAGAGATAATGCGGTCGGGAAATTTCTCTTGCAATAAAACCATATTCGGCGATGATGTACGAGTATGCCATGTGGAACCAGTTTGCTGAAACCACATATTCCAAGTTATGTTCTTCAATTGCAGGCCAAAAAAGTCGGTTTAGCTTACTTATTTATCCCTCGGGAGAGATAATTCGTCGCTGAATTCTAAAAGCACAGTCCAATGCTCGTTGTTCAAGGATCCAACAGGCATAAGACTCTTCATAAATGCCAGAATCTTAACTAAAGCAAAACATGTTTGGCTTGACAGTTGAGTTTAATGGATGAGGAAACTTGAATAAAACTTTCGTCTCTTTCAAAAAAACGGTCGTCAAATAAATATCATTCGTGTCTGGTCAGCAGAGGCTAGCTATTTGAAGCCATGCGGTTTGTTTTATTGATGAATCCTCGTGGATCTATGGTGTCCGCACATTAATTAGCGAAGATATGTGATTATCAGATCCATTGCTGACTTTCCCCCGGAACAGTCCAAATTCTACATATAATTAATTGCCTGGCCAACAGTTTCTATAGTGAAGACACTTTCGGTAGTAGAGAGTGGTTTCGTACCTCGGCATTTAAGTTTGTAAATAAATTCTATTGTCAAGCGCTTTCTGAGGTCTGTTAAGGGGTTAAGAGATTAATTATTGACAAAAAACAAAAAGAAAAATTCAATAACCGTTAGTTTTTGTTAGCAAAACATTTAAACTCCCTCAAATCCTGAAAATGAATTAATTCATTTGCTTATATATTATATTTGCGGTCGCCCCTCGGCAGGGAATGTCAACCCCTTTCTGAGCTGTTCGGAGGCGGCTTAGTATAAACTTGTATATATAGAATACATATACATACATATATTTTAGTATCTTTACACCTTTTTTGTTTTTAGTACAATTTTATAGAAATCAAATTTATTAATGAATAATTTCATATTCAAATTTAAATTTACATTTTTTCATACATTACAAAACCAAAATCCGATAAAACAGGAACTGGAATGTCAAGTACTGCAAAGCTTACTCTTTTGCATGCATGCCTTTCTGACGGCCAAAGTCGCTTCAGTCGATCCAGCATTTCTGAGTTCCATACAACAAACCTAAGCAAATGAATCGGTGGAAATCGTAAATTGGGGAATTCGGAAGAATCGTAAATGCAGACAGAAAATGGCGGCTGAAATTATTTATTATGATATATTAAATAAATTTAACGAAAATTAGGTACTCAAATATTACTAAAATAAAATTTAAAAATTGAAAGTAAAAATAAATAGAAAGAAAACTATTTATAATTGATATTAAAAGGAAAAACAAAAAATAGCTTAAAATTTATACTTATACTTTGGCATATACTTATATAGATATTTAAAACAATTAAAATACTTAGTATGATTATATACAATATACATACATACATACATACATGCATACATATGTAACAAAAAGGCATGAAAAATCAATTTGTGCAAATATTGTACAACTACTCGCAATGCATATACATACATACATACAAAATTACTTGTCTGATGCTATTTAAGTCTTGTATATGTATATAATATACAGGCAAATAGTTACACATGCATATATATAGTTATGTATATGCATATGCAATATACACATACATAGAGACATTCAAATAAAATTGTGGTGCAAGCGCGTAAGTTAAGAGCGGTTACCGTTAACTTTTTCCCATTATTAGTCATTGTTAATTATAAAATACTAGCTTGTTATATTAAAAAAAAATAATAATAATTAATGTAATTAATTAATCTCAGTGAATCTGAAATGAAGAAATCGATTCTTATCTTTTTTTTCAATACTTTGCACACTTTCAACTGAACTTTGGTTGGAAAAACAAAATTATTGCACTGAAATAATATTAATATTTAAGATATAGACAGTTATATGACTTATCTATGTACATATTAAAGTCTCAATGCCTATAAAGCTCGATGTTTTTTATGAAAATCGAAAATAAGAATTTGTGAAAATTTCTTCTACAACTTGCCTTCATTTCATCATATATTCATCTAATGAAATGGTAAAATCTACAACGGTAAATACCTTATTTTCAACTCGATTTCTTTTTATTTGTATAAAATTATCTGACTTTCAGAGCAGTCATTTTGCTCATAAAAAGGATTATATCTTTTTCAACGTACATATATGATTTAAATACTTCAAGCAAAATCTTTTCCGATTATTTTAATCATTTCTTTGCAGAAAAGTTTGTTTAAAACATAGCACAGATTTTTTTTTTATTTATTTTAATACCCTCAACAAATTGAGAGTCTTTATGTACTGAGAAATATCGCTCCTAAAATGTATGTAAGATATTCGCAAAAAAAAAATAACAAAAATTTTAAAAACTCCATCTTTAAAAAAATCTTGATAATATTATTGATTTTAATATTATGAATTAATATTTTCTCATTTTTGTTTTCTGTTTAGATATCACTTAAAATCAAAACTTAGTTCAGAGTTTCCTATACATGCCTACATGATGAGTTCAAATATATGTATAAACTTATTTTGTACACTCAGTCTCAATACGTCAATTTGGAATTGTGTCTTCTCCAAGCAAAATGCATATGAAAAAAATTTTAAAACCAAAACATAGAACACTTTAGCCATATAAACCAAAATTAAAAAGAAAAAAAAACCTAAATTAAAAATTAAATACTACACACAACAGAACTCAACTAAGCCACCTTCTCTACCAAAAACAAATAAGAAAAACAAAGCAAAACAAATATGAATATTAATATTGATATTTACATGTATTAATGTACATTATTGCAAATATATACATATATATCTATATATATATAATATACCGGCTTTTCAAACCAAAATCATGAAAAAATAATTTTACTAAATAAAACAAAGCACATACAGTATATTATTAATATATACCACACACCAGCACAAACAGCAACACCTGAAGGTGAATAAAGTGAAATTAAAGCGTAAAACCGATTACTTTAATATGTCAGTCATACATACTACATACATACATACAAATATGAATAGTTATACGAATGTAAACAAATGCAAATGCAAAATACAAACACAAAACTACAATATACATACATATATACATACATACGTATATAATACCAACAAATACACACGCGCAAGTGCAAATGTCACCGAACGAAACGTCAACAACTCAATATTGACAGCTCAAGCAAATGTCAAAACACAACTCATCAACCTAACCATATCAATCGCATAGAAACGAAAACCAAACAAAAGGAATAATAATAATAATACTAATACTAAAACAAGCAAGCAAACAAAACAAACAAACAAACATTTAACGGAGCAAAAAAAGCAAACAAATTAATTACAAACTTTATAGAAAGTAAAAAAAAAAAAATAGAAATAAAATATAAATATATACATATGTAAAATATATATTAAAATGTATTTTCATGCCTACATACAACCGCATACATACTTACATACATTGATAACCATAAATGCTATATACACAAGTAAATAATACCGTCATATGCAATATATATACAAAAAGTACGCATACACATAAATATACATACATACATATTAGTATGTAGTAAATATTCTGTCGTACACGTACATATGTAAGTATATAAGTGTGCTGAAATAAATGGGAAATAAAGGAAGCAATTCAAAACTGTATACGTGAAAAATGAAATATGTACATACATACATTACATACCTACTACATATGTAGGTTCATCATAAAAAATAGAAAACAATTATCAATACGCGCACCTTACGCTTAAAGCATTTTTTATTTCAACTTACAAACTCATTAAGCGCAAAATTAAATGTAGCAAAATTTTACTGTTAAAATTACTGGGAAAATATTAAATACGTACTTTTTTTCTTAAACAAAGTTTAACAAGTGAAGGCCATAAGCAATTATCATAGTGAATCAGCTCGGGAAAGGTATCAGGCCAATCTTTCCAGGGCATGTGGGTACCAATATTTCAGTTTCTAAAAAAAACATTCCGAGATGTCTAAGTTTTGGATTATTTCTAGACCACAATAGTAGCTTCTGGGAAAAAATTAAGAGCTAATAAAGGAATAAACATGCATTGGCGCAAAATACCAACCAGATTTTTGAATGAATTTTTTTAATTCCACTTTAAAAAATGGGAATCGATTTCTTTTAATGATATCACAAAATAACAAAATACGGAGCTTTTCCGATTACTTTTTTAAGGAGCACAACAAACAACCGCTCCTTTAATCTAAAAACAATCGGATTTTAGTTTTTGTTTTAATATCAAGTACCGTTTTGCAAAATCTACGATCCTCCCAAGTTTATAGAGAATCAAATGGGGAGTTCAAAAACAATAAATCCAAACTTGTTACAGTCATAACTAGCACCAACTTCAATTAACGAAAAATTTGAACGTAACCTCGCTATTTTTGAAGAATCCTGTAAGCCAAAAAATCTTTTATATTTTCCCCTGAAGCTGTCATTATGGCCTAAAAGAAATTCAAATTTTAGAGCTATAGCTGCACTATGTCCTGAGAGCAGAATTATTTCTTAATAATGATTTTTTCGAAAGCGGTAACTTGATAACTCTCTGGGATCGATTCACTATTTGTTTTTGCCCCTTCAAAAAATGCCTTTTTTCATTATTTCTTTATTACAACTTACTTAAGCATAAATACAATAGTTACATAATAACGGTATTATTTCACAGAAATGGTCAAAATTAGATTAAATGAAATTTAAAAAAACATATTGACTTAAAAAATTACATTTATAATCTTAAATTTGTTTTTGTTTTGTTTTATGCAAATTCAAATAGAAAAAAAGTTTTTATAATTACACCTTTTTTACAATTTCCTATCATTATTATCCTATTGGCAAAGATAAAATTAAACAAACACAAATTTTGTAAATAAATTCATTGTTATATATATTTTTGGTTATATAGTTTTTTATTACATCATGTTTTATTAATTTTTTTTATTTATTTTTATCATTCACGCCGCCAATACAATTCTCCAACTTTGATGTACTCCACTTACTTACAATACAAAAATATACTTTATATATATATATATATAATATAACACAATACAGTACGTCCAACAGCTTATTTATGTATGTGTGTAAATCAAACATAACCTAATTAATATTATTTATTTATTTTGTCAATGTACTCAATCATAAGCTTATTAGGATACAAAAGAAAAAAGACAACAACAACAACAACAACAACAACAACAACAACAACAAAATCACAGCTACCAAGTCATTCATAATACAACGTTTTCCATGCAACACCAAAAACAGCAACAAAATTGCACACAAACTTATTAATAATCAAGAAGAGCAACAACAATAACAAATCGAAAATATTAATAGATTCAATCAAATGGAAAAGAAACTAAAAAAAAAACAATAAAAGTATTTGCTTCTGGAAAAAAGCACAATAGAAAAGTGGATGTTGTCTATACATATTACATAACATAATTATGTAAGTATGTGTTTAGCCACACTTAAGTAAAAATAACATTTCTTGTGCATACATACATACGTATAAGAGTATAACTTTGATTTAATTGTTGTATGTACTTTTGTGTTGCTTGATTTGCAAAAGTTTATAATTTTACATTTATACATACATATATAATATATTTGTATTTACATACACATTAATTAAATAACGCGTAATAATGTGGGAAAAACGCTACAAATACAAGAATATATATAAACCGGCATTATAAGAAAAAGAACTACACACACATACACAAACACTGCAAGAAAACGATATAACGAAAACTAATGGGAAAAGCAGAAATGAAGAATTGAAAAATAAATCGCATAAAACTCATTGCTATTAGAAAAATGTCACTCCCTGTTTGGTTTTATTCTCTTGAGTGGATTTAAGAGTCCTCTGAATTTGGCAGATTTTATGGTAAGTTGAAACATACATAAATAATGAAATGCTTGTAATTAGGTTTTGCAGCAACGTGTGCACAGAATACCAAATTTCACACTCTAAGCTGCTTTTTTGACAAATTTATGACGAATGTTTCAAATTTGAAAAATCGGTCGTTTGATATATATATTATACTAGCTCGATTTGATCGCTTAAATGTACAAGTGCATCTCTGTATCAATTATGGTTGGAATATCTTATTGCGTCGGTTTATATTTTGATGGGTCTATCACTTTTCCTTCTGGTACTTCCACACATAATTCGGAC